ACTTAGATTTTCTTTTCTTTTTTATAAACTATTTAGTCATGGCATACCTGTTTAAAACGTTATAATTATAATCATTTCAATTCAAACAGCAAACGTCAACATCACGCAGTAAATACATTATGGTAATTAATTTGAGTTAATGTAACAATGTAGATTGTGTTAGAAAACTAATTTGCAAAACAGAATTTTTATTGAGAAATACGTTACTGATAAGTAAATAACAAGACATATGTATGTATATTTTATTCAAGATAACGCATTCGCAAATTTAAGTTCGGTCTTCGAATTGATAATTAAATAAACCCACAATATTATTATGCAAACTTAATTCTATATAATTCTGAGGAAATTTGTAGAACATAAAGTGATCTGAATGTTTTTAAAATACCATTATTCTACGAAAGTAAAACATTAAAACCACAGATAAAACGAATCGATGTGTAAGTGAGCGCCATGTAATTATTCTCGCTGACACGCACACATAGACAAAAATAATGTACTCGCAACAACAAATAGAGTTTTTCTAAAAAGTAGGGAATTCCAAATTGAAAGAATTCGAAGTAACATAAGACGTCAATTTTTTGCTTTAAGACTGGAACTGTTTAGATGTTCTGACAACTACAGAAAGTTATAATTAGTTGTAATCTATACTAATATTGTAAAGGGGAAAGATTTATACTTTTATATGTTTGTAACGAATGAACTCAAAAACTACTGGACAATTTCAAAAATTCACTTATCACTAAAATGCTACATTATCCCTGAGTAATATATCTTAGAGTAAGCATATTAATTCTATGTGTATAATATTAGGAGTGCAAACGTTTATTATTATTAATACGTAGGCTGTTCCGTAATTTGTTTGTATTGTAAATCTCTTAAAAAATGTATGCCTATGTTAAATACGACGTAAACTAAGAGATAATTCTTCAGGCAATGTTGTACAGTACACCGATATGACAACAGTGACAGATTTCCATGAAAATATACCCCAAACATTACTTAATTACATGTCATGTTATTTAGTTAAACATATTACGGATGGCATATATGAAAAACAAATTCGACCTTCTATGGTAGGACCACAAATCGTACCAATTACGAATTGTTACGAAACAATTAAACAGTTTCAATTTTCAAAGTTTTCATTGTAAGAGCAATGAATGAAGTAATAAACAGGCTATGAACGTGTTAATTTTCAATACAATCGGTCACGGCTCGCGACTCAAGGACTGAGCGCCTTCAATGTTTATACATTCCAACTCAATGTTGCCGAAAACATTACCGATACACTCTTATATGTATTACGCATTACGCATTATAACATTGATTATTATAACTTTATATTTTAACAGTTGGAAATCCAAAAGGATTCAGGGTTTGGAAATAAGTTTTTTTTTCTTAAGACATTCTTAGCAATGAAATACAAAATACAAAAATTTGTCGTACTACAGTCGTGATTGAAATCATTCTGAGTTGTCTCTAGTTTATCATATGGCCATTGTATTGATCATAAAGGTCATATTATTGCAAATAACTCTACTTCATGTTTTTCTTGATCAAAATCATCTAATAAATTTAATATACATATACGCTCGTAGTTACACGTAGAAGACCATCTGAATTAACAATATTGGTCAGATCCCACCGTTAAACCTTGCCTATTTCATGCGGTTATGTAGTCTGATCTGAAGCAAGACTAGTGGTTTTTCTATTAATACAATTTGAGGCAGGCGTTCACTAAGGACACATAAGGTTTTTACTGGTGGTAGGACCACTTGTGAGTCCGCGCGGGTACGTACCACCACCCTACCTATCTCTGCCGTGAAGCAGTAGTGCGTTTCGGTTTGAAGGGTGAGGCAGCCGTTGTAACTATACTGAGATCTTGGAACTTATATCTCAAGGTGGGTGACGCAATTAAGTTGTAGATGTCTATGGGCTCCAGTAAGCACTTAACACCAGGTGAGCTGTGTGCTCGTCCACCCATCTAAGCAATAAAAAATTTAAAAAAAATAACTCTTAGCAGTGGATAGACCCTGAGCTCGTCTCACTATAGGTATCTGCGTCAATAAATGAATTATTAACATTTAATATTACAAACGTTCCGAGGCTAACTATATAATGTGTTTTAATAAAATAATAACATAAACAGATACGCCACGTTAAGCAATAAAATCACAGTCACAATGCTGAACATCAGAAAAAAATCGGATCCACTATAAAAAAGAAACGCTGTTGTAAAAAGTTATGTGTATTATTTTCTGGTTTTCCTGGGTCTTGTGTCAAACTCTAGATTGTATTTTGTAAATAAACGATTTCCCTGAAATCTTAGCCTAGAACGGTCGCATAAATTAGAACTCATTATAATATAATTGGAAAAGATAAAGCCAGGGATATCCGATCCGATACTTCGCTTTCAGTGCCGCTAATAATAATAACTTTAAGTTTAAAGACAGCAAATGCTTAGAAGTTAGAGACAAGTACTATACTATAAATTAAAAACAAATTTACTGATTTCTACCATTAATAAACACTGCTATGAAATTCTTAAAATATATTTATATAAATATAAAAGCAGTTGAGGCATATTGTCGTCTCAGTACGGTCCCACATTAAAATTCCTTCTCACGTAACAAGTTGGAATTGCAAACAACATTAGAAGTGTGCTAAGCACCATTAAATACAAAGGAAAAGAAAGCACTGCTTTGAAAAAGAAAACAATAAGTATTCTTTGAGCTAAAACCTAAATGGATAACAGTAACATCGAACAAAATAGAATTTCATTTTGGGAAGATAACATATATGGCGTTGCGGCATATCCCTCTATGACTCACAATGTGTTTTCTTGTTCGACAATAATTACAAATACATTTAGGATAATCAGTCGATGTCAGAATAAAGACGAATACAATTTTTCTTAATAAATACATAGCTAACAGGAATTTAAATATTTCCACGACAAAGGTATAACTTCGAATATTAAATATGAATTCTTAAAATTTCTAAGTTGTTGTAATTACTGATCGTAGGGTATATTGTAAGCCAGAAACAATAAGTTAATGCTTGAACTGTTAGAGATTTTTAGATTTTGATAATTTAAATGATACGTGGACTTCATCTCTCAAGGTAGATAGGCAGCATTCACGCTATGTTCACGCAACAATAGCTTTACATAAGGCGGGCCTGCCATCTATAATATTTAAATAGTTAATATTTTACTTTTAGATTTAAATTCTATAGCCAACGCGATGCAAGCATACCTTATACGGTACACGTTAACTGCATGTTTATACATTAAAATTCTATTATCGTTTATCCGCTAGACTGAGAAGTTTGCCGCGCTACGGATACCTATGAAAACGTCAACTTATAACTAATAATAACATTCGAAATTCACACGAAAGGTTCTTTGTGTTGCAGAAAGACGTATCCTCCGGGTTCAACGACCTCAAACGCCGGCGGCCACTTTCGCTACAGACGCATATAATCGTTGATTATGGCCATCTGTGATTTATTATAATCACGATACTCACAAACGATCTTGATAATCCTCACGTCTATGACCTATGACTTATGGCTCAGCAAACACCGCGTATTCCATAAGAGGTTGCAGTATTACCTGACTAATATTTACCTATTTGCAAAAGACTTTCTAGTTGAAATAGATTGCGTTGTGTTTGTCTTGACAGAATACAGCTTTTGCGTGATTTAGCGTTTTGAATTTCGTGCTTTAAAACTATTGAATTTAATTGTTTAAAACTACTACTACTATAAAATAAACATTTTTAGGACCTTTGTTATTATTATTCAAGATTAGAATCAGGGCAATACGTTAGTTAGTTTTAAACTCAGTTCCAAGGTAAACTAGTCGCTGCGACATGGCGCGTCCTCAATGTTCCACTCTGACGCTCTAACACTACACACACGACTGTCTAAACAACATTCCCTCAGAGATAAAATCGATCTAAGTTAAATGTTTCTTACTATTTGTCTGAATAAAATAATTTTCACGCCAAATATGTTCGAAGGGTGTTTAATTTTTTTCTATTACATAAAAGAATAGACAATACAGAAATACAGTTAAATATCATTTCCTCTTCTGTTTATTAAACGACTTCCTTTTTGTTTAGCTATTGACAAGCTTTTAGTGCCTTAGCTACGTCAATGTTTATTTAGAAACAGCTACTTTTTTTTTAAATGCCACTATCAAACAAAGGATCAACTTTATACATCAAATGCATCTAAATCTTGAGGTCTTAAAAAAATGGTAAATGTTCGATCACTGCGCGAACACTAGTTCAGTAATTCAGTAAAATCCATCAAATAAGCTGTCAGGTAGAAACTGTCAAAAGATCAATTACGTGAAACATGTTTCTTAGTTAATAACAAAGACGCTTATTCTTCACATATGCGGAAACGAGACACGTATTTACGAAAATTACATAATAACAAGCAAATATAATAGTTATCGTTCAAACGTAACGTGACAATGTTTTCGAATAGAAACTGCTCGAACAAACACACGTTTGTGTAACGAATTTAAATATTTCGTTACTTTGAGTAAACGTATCATTAAAATTTTAATCTTTAATTTTAAAAATCGTGTATGTATATGTTTACGTTATTTATGTGTGTATGTATATATATATGTAGTCTAATATATTATGTATTAGTGTTTTTTTTTTTTTATTAAGATTGTATTCTTCTACCCACTCATTTAAAGCTTTCCTTCGTTAAGAACGGTTAGCTGGTAGAAAACTCAATTGTTGAGTTAAGCTCGCCATTTTTTATATCAATAAAAGTACAATAAAAGAATACAGAATAAAGAAAAATTTTAATAAAATTCACATTAAGAGCCGTCAGTTCTCTTTTTAGCTATAACAATCACACCACTAACCCGATTTCGAAATATCATGAAAATAAATTCTTAGGTTTTTTAAAAAAAAAAAATTTAGTTACGTTAAAAGCTCTTAAGGAAAATGATTTGAAATAAAACTCACCGCTACCAGGGCATCATTTCCGTAGGCTCTGCCTTCCAAAGCGAGTTCTTTGTCGAGCATTGCATCCAGCTGCTCTAGCTGATGGCATGATGATCGAGCTGCTACCCAACTCGAAGCCAATATAAAGGTTCCCAAGATGAAGGAGGAAGCGACCACTGTTAATGCTGCAATCTTCGCGATCTGGACCGAAGTTGACACCCTGTGCCGATAAGCCTAAATTTTGGAAAAAAAAAGTGTTGTTTACTAAGTATTAATATGAAGTTGGCACATATACATACATATACGCATATTTATTTATATATAGGAAAAAACAGCACAGTAGTATAGTCGTCTCTGTTAATCAACCGATTTTTTATTGATGATGTTCTGTTGATGAGACTATTTTTGTAAATGGCTATTTTATTCGTAATAAAAATAAAATAAAAATACAAAAGAGAAAATGTAATACATCTTGATCTTGAAGCGTTAGTGATCATGGTGGAATTTCGATCGACCTTCACTGATATAAAGAAACCGCTTTTTAAAAAAAACACCGCTGTTTTGGAAAGTTTTTGTTTATGAAAAGTGAACTATTCTAACAAACTGTTTAATACAATAAGAATCTCCAATTACCTTTAAATTTAATTATTTATAATCAGAGTTTTAATCAGAGGTCTGTGAACAATTGAAATTCTCTTTTGAAAGTGTATGTTATGTAATAACATCAAATAATCTGTAGTTGTTTTCATCAACAATTAATGAATTACAAGAAAAACATTTCATTTCCCTTTTTGCTAAGTGCCCCTACTTCTCCATCTTCACTGCCCCTTGAGTATTGCTGATAGCACAGGATGTATTAAGAGCCCGAACGCTGTTCTATCTATTTGAATCACCTCAAGAGTGAGACTATAGTTATTCTGAGGCAAGTGAGAACTCACAATTTTAACAGACTATTAGATCCTTTGAGCTATTTGAGCAAAAAAAAATCCAGGCACGTTTTAGCTTAAATAAATTTTAGCGATAATTTAGGTATTAAAACAGCTTTTTCAACCTGCGAGGATTCGGACAGTAGTATATTCCTAGCACTCGGAAAATTGCACGAAACAAAAGAATGTAAATTTTGTTAATCAGTAACTGGGTAACGTTCAATGATTACGTTACGAACCTCGAATTGCAAACAAACTGTCGTGGCGTGTTAGCAATACTTTTACTGTTCGGTTGCATAAAGCTGTAGTTAATGAACTTTATGCGACCAATTGCAAAAAGGGGGTAAATACATAAAATTAATCTTAAGCAGTTACTTGTTTCTTAGTATAAAATTAATTTTCAAGTAACTTTCTAACTTGGTGGTATTGGTGGCAGGGCGATTGTGAGCTCGCACGAATAGGTACCACCAACCTGCGTATTTTTGCCGTGAAACAGTAAAGTAATTCGGCTTAGGGCGAGGCAACCGTTGTACTATAAAACGGAGACTTAGAACTCATGTCTCAAGGTGGGTGGCGGCATTTAAGTTGTTGATGTCTATAGTCTCCGGAAACCACTTAACAGCTGGGCCGTCAGCAAATCCACCCATTTGAGCAAAAACTATTACCTTTTTTTGTTAAGCAAACGAGCTTAGTATTAAGCGGCACCTGAAGCCCATATACCTTAATGCGAATAGCACCACCCATCATGAAACACGAGGAGAAATCTTGATTGGAATGTTCAATAGTCGTAGCCGTCGTAGTAGGTAAGATTTGGGGGGAAGCTAGATAGGTAAATAAGTGGGAACTCTTAAAATGGACAGATGATTGAATTGATCATTTAATCTTCTTATTAATAGCCGAACAAACTATTATCACTCATAAATAACTAGGAATGTACGCTTTTTGTGCTTTTCTATTTGTATGTTTTAAAACAAACGGCATGACAGACGCGAGCAAAGTGGGACAGCAATATTCTCACCGCGCTAACGAAACATCAATCACAGAAAATGCGATACCTAAACAAGAAAATATGCCTAAGTTATTGCGACACCCGCAATAAAAACAGAAAACCTTTTGTCCTTAGCGAAGCGGAGTTAATGAAGTGTTGGCGTACTAAAGAACCTTTTGCACGAAATTACGTAACACTCAGCAGCAAAGGTAGGGGCCAGGTGAAAGTGCGCCAACATTTTATTGCATTTTGTGAAATCCATCATCTTTACTGAACTGCAAAATTATATCGAATTCAAACTTCACGTTTACTTTGTCACTTCGAATCCGTATTATAATTTGATGCAATAATTTTAACGCTTACGACACACTTTCGATACTTTCTATGAGTGCGGTAATGTTTAAAAACTTGATTGAACGAAATGGAAAACTTTATTATGAATTAAATAACAACCATACTAAAATTACATAAAAAAATTACTAACAAAACAATTCGATTGGAATAGAATGTTTCCGTTGAAACCAAGTCTAAAACAAGCATTAGGTTTTGTTAGAAATGCTAATTAAAATGCAGTCCAAGTAAAAAAAAATGCAACCGAGAAGGGTAAATGTAACTATACTGAGACCTTAGAACTTATATCTCAAGGTGTGTGGCGCATTTACGCTGTAGATGTCTATGGGCTCCAGTAACCACTTAACACCAGGTGGGCTGTGAGCTCGTCCACACATCTAAGGAATAAAAAATAAAAATAAAAAATTCTTCAAGGAAATGATAATTTATCGTTAAAACAAGCCTAGGTTGAATAAGTAGTAACACTTTGTGTATACCCGCTGTTTTGAGTAACGTGTAAAATATAAACAGAAACATGATTATTAGGTATGTTGTATTGACGTATCCCATTATAATTCCAAATGCGTTAGTCAACAACTTGTAGGTTGCTACACCGTGTTGGTATAAAACGTCTTGGATCACGTATTTATAACATAAACATTCAAGAAACACTTCAATTCAAAAAATATTTTCAAATAAAATCTACTGTTTTGTCCATTTTATCTGTAGCAAGGGCTGTACGAGGTTTTTTTTTTAATATCACGATACTTTTACTGTCCATATCTCTGTCTCTCATATCTTTAATGTTCTCGGATTTAATTATATGTTTTTATGATTTTTTTGATATAGGCCTACCTTACACCAAATAGGTACCTCAGCTCTGGCCAAAGTCTCGCTTGCATTAGAATAACGGCTATTCCATATATTTTTCCTAGTTAATGGCGTGAAATAAAATATCAAGGTAAAAAGTTATAGATTTCATATTAATTTAGTATTATGTATGTTACCATTTTACTTTAAGTTTTCAACCAATCTACTTTATACATTGTTTTCAAAATCACGATAGACAACGCTCAAGACTTTATGTACCTACACCAAAATACACTAATGTGCATGAAGTGCAAATATATAATACAAAGTTTTGTGAAGGAACAAAAAAATCTTTTTTGAGCAAAAAATCAATCAATATTTACGTTTTTATTTTTAGTGAAAGTGAACAACTCTGTGTGTTTAGCGGTGTATGTGAGTCATAAAGTTTACTGCAAAAAACAACAGTTCAAATATCATTTCCGCTATTTGTGAAACTTTATAAAAGACACTTATATATCTAGAAAATGTATTTATTTATTATTTGTCAGATAAATTCGTTGGTACCAATCACACGTTGGTACCATGAACATCAAAGTGATTATCACGTAAGTCATAATATGTCACTGTAATCGCACAACCACTTTGTGCTTAAAATGTAATTTAAATGAAAAAGTGATTGTTTAGTTTACACTTTACGACTCAATTCGACCACTTTGAGCTGCTTAGCTAAATAACTGTCTTTCACCGTGGTCCTAATTTTTACAACTTATTACTTTGACTGTGACTATAAAAAATTGCCGAAGGTAAAAAAATTCATGAACATTCATGTAGAATAAATTTGATGTCGACCTGTCGCACTTAGAGGAAAATAAGCAAGAACTTTACTCAGCTATTTCATTTCAGAATAAATTGTATTTATTATAATGTAAACGAGTACGAACTATTGTTTATTAATCGTGGATATTTCGAGCAAATATCAAACTGTGACTGACTGAGACATGACGCAAGCCTATTGTCCACTTGGTCAACTAGCCAATAACGATTTCACTCCGGATTGTGTTGTGCATTGTTTATCTCTATTGTAAAAACTTCTTTGTTTTCATAACCACAGGAACTTCCAAAACATTTATTTTTAAATTGGGAACTGTAAATTTCTGCAAATTAGTCATGGCTGTAAAGATTATGGGGAAAAACCCCGCGGTCAATCAATTCATCATTCACGTCAATTCAAATCTAGTCTTTTTGGGACGATCCAAATCCTTTCAAGAAGGCTTTTATTTAAAAGATTTTTTCCGCGTGTATTTTTTTAAACGAACTAAAAAGTAAATATAGGCTCGATGCAAGTGGAATGATTTTGAGGTGCAAGAAATCATATTATATTTTCAATAGAATTAAGTTTACTGGTCGTCCCTAGTGTTATTTTAAATGTGCCCACAACTCACAACCCTTTTTAACGAAAGGCTATATAATAAACTTTCATGTGCGAAATAATGATAATAATACCATAATTATGTGTCCATTTCTGAACTATGTTGCGAACGAACTATGAACGAATAAGCACATTTTTAATCTAATAACAAAAAAAATATACTTAATGAAGCAAATTCTGAATAAAATAATGTTAAAAAGAAAAAAAAGAAAATTCAACCGCATAAATTAAAGAGATAATACACAATAGGACAATGCTAAAAATGAAACTAAAATTAGGTATTTTTCTTTCCACGACTTAGCATGTTGAACTACAAAAACTTTTGGACTAAACCAATCTGCAAATTGGAATATTATAGAAGATTTTAATAAAGTTTTAAGATTTTGATGAGAAACTGTCAGATGCTCGCACAACACAACAATATAATTTCCCACGATTAACATATTAATATAATTTATGATTCCTAATGTAATTTCTTTCTCATTTTTGGTTGCAAAAAATATAAACAAATCTGAGAATAATAACTTTGAAAATGTTTTTTATTAAAAACTCATGTTTTTTGTTACCTAAATCAAGCACTTGATAAGTGGAGAATACAACAATAATTTAAATATAAAATAAATTCGTAAAATTTTACTTCAGAAAAATTTATTGTTTGAATTAATTTTTGTTGACTCAGTCGTAGCATTCGTCTAACAATTTATATAATAGATATCTTGGTATTTTTTTATTTCTATGTCTTTCGAACACTAATATTGCCAATATCTCGAATGAATAAAGTGACTGTGTTTACAAACAAGTGTCTACGCGTCACCTGCTATAGACAATCACTAGACCGAGAGAAAGGCGCTTTCCACCACTTGTATCCTACTTATTCGACTGCACAATTATTTTGCCTCATTTAGTGACTGTCATAATAGTTTAACAATTAGAAAACCATACATTTCTGAATAGGTACAGGAAATTAATGACTATTATACTATATCTGATATTTTATTTTAATGTAATCTATAAAAATAAAAGATTTTTGTTCAGTTACTGCACTCAAATAATGTACGTATTTAATAAAAATTAAAGTTTGTGTTTTATTATTATGTTAATCATATTTTTATTCAATATGATAATAATAATATATTATTAATTCTTAAATAGGTAACGGGTTTTGCATACCGGTGGCGGTTCTGATGTGCTGTATACTTCAGAAGGCGGATATTCCGGCTTCATAGTTATTGTAGCCATCGAGTCTGGCTGGTGTTCTTTTTCCATCACGACCTAATACTGTTTATCAAAATTTATTTATTGCTCGTCTCTGGGTAACGCGTACTGTGTCTGATGTTCGAAGTTGAAGTGCGGGTCTGCGGACAACTTAGGACAAGTGAGTGGTGTCGTCGAGCGTAGGCGCAGAGAACGGCCGTGGTGGGGTCGCCGGTCGCCCGCCCGGTTTTGCATTCTCATATGGCTGAAAATACCGCTTAGATCCATAATAAAATATCCGTATCAGTATAATATTGCTCTATTCATTTCATTCAGATCATTTGAAGCATCAATCAATCAAGAGAAACACACGGCACAACGGTATCTGATATAAAATTATGGGTAATATTCTAACTTTTATTTTATTTTGAAATAATGGAAAGGATAAATAAAAATACCCAGATACGTTCCAGATGAACTTATCTGGGTATTTTTATTTACATAATATATATTCATTTGTAGTAATTCTCGTTCAACATTCTCGTTTTAGTCTCCTACTTCCAATTTTTTATTGAGTGGAATGAAATCTTTATCTTTCTTTTTTTATCTTTCTTTTTATTCTCTCTAGTCTTTGTAGACTATGATTCCACCGTCCAACCTGCTTCTACCGTGCACATTCAGGTATATACCGATAAATTCGTCAAATCTTTAATAGGTATACGAAGTCATTCATATTATAGTTAGGGCTACTGAGCGCTATGAGACATACCCGATCCTGTAAATCGAATGGTAAACAGTCGACGTTGCCCAAAGCACGTCATTACGGATCCTCCCGATCCATTAACGGTCCTTTTAGGCACCACAAGCACCGGTCACCGTCCTCGTCGAACCCGTCGCTTGCGATGAAGGGCTCCACGAGCGAATTAACCCATAGTCATAGCCCACTGAGTTTCTCGCTGGATGTTCTCAGTGGGACGCATTTCCGATCTGGCGGTGATTCTGCTAAGCACTGCTCTTACTAGGGTCAGTGTTAGTTTGAGCCCCGTGAGCTCACCTACTAGTTAAGGTTACGTTGAAATAGCCTCTCAAGGCTTAGGTAGGAAAAATAATTTTGTGGAAGTTTTTTTTCCACCAAACTGATCCAATGTCAATTTTGTTGTTCGAAACTTAGGTAGTCTAATGAGTCATAATGAGCTGGCACCATCTTACTGATAGGTTGTTCCTTTTAAAATCAACCATGCTGTCTCATCTTATGTTGAATTTGGTTACATTTTATTCCATTTAATCATCATCAATCATAAAATCAATAAACATCCAAAATCAATTACTATTCAATCCGTTCGGCCTTCGTTACAAACATGGCTTTATACGCTAAGTTCCTTTTGCCTATTCAATGAACAAATTAAGCATAAAAAAAGTGAACAATAATGAACAATTTCGATTTGAGGTTAAACGCAGCCGAAATTTAATGATTTATGTTTAAATATTGATAGTAAACATGTCAACTACAGCTAAAGGAACTTTTCAGCCAGTAAGTAAATGTGCAATACTTATTTTTGTCAAAACCTAACAAGCACAAGAAATTTACTGTATTAATTAACCATATTGAGACCATTTTAGGTACGAAACATGAACATTCTATTGAATTTCATTTATTTTTCTCCTCGGCATTCTAGGACTCTGATGTACACATTTCATATGAAGATCAACAAAAAATTAACAAATTTGCTCGTCTCAACGCTAAAGTTGATGATTATAAGGATGAGCTCAAAGTAAAACAAAACGATGTAAAGAACCTAGAAGAAGCAGTTGAGGAACTGAGCCTTGCTGATGATTCTGAAAAAATCCCTTACCTTATTGGTGAAATTTTTATTTGTCAGAATTTGGAAATTACTTTGGTAAGACTATCACATTAATACTCTTTAAAATTTCATTAATATTATATATTTTATTAACTAAAAGTGAAATAGTGGTTATTTGATAAAAGAAAGTTGCAGCAGTTTATCCTAAACTTATTTATAAAATAATGTGTGTTCAATCTGATATTAATGCTTCAGTAAAAAGCGAATCAGTTATTATAAAATATTGCCACACTTATACCTGACTGGGCCCTTTTAATAAATAAAACATAACAATACCAAGAGAATTATTTAAATATTTTTCAGTGCATAATATCTCAAAAACAAAAACTCACTCATCTTTTGACAGATTACTTAATGTAGTTTTTAGGATCTTAAACAAGCCTTAAGTTCATAACTATTTTTTTGACCCTTTTAGTGCTAAGCTTATTAGATAATAGATTTTTAGAAACATACCATTTTCTCTTTCTAATATATAAAAGTGCCTTATTTGTAGGTTAAGCTTGATTGAAGATTGGTTAAATATTAATCCAACTGAAAATTGAGAACTAAAAAATATCAAAATATCTACTCTCATTTTATATTTAAACTTAACACTTAACTCAATAAATAAAAAAGGGTATATATTTAAATCTAATATTATAATTTTATTCCAGAAAAATCTTGAGGAAGCTAAAGCAAAAAAAATACATGAAATTCATGATTTAGAAGAAAAATGTGAGGAACTAAAATCACAAATGAGTGACTTGAAAGCACACTTGTATGGAAAATTTGGTAGCCACATTAACTTAGAAAATGAGGAAGATTGAAACAACATTAATTTTGTTCACAAAAATTGTACTCATATTTTAAGCTTTTAAGTTACATAGGCTTCACATAAAATAATTATTGTTATTCTAAACATTGTTGTTTTTACACAATAAGAATTTATGTTTCTTAATTCGAAAATTGGCTGACCTACTTCAATGCAGTTTAAAATTACAGTAAAGACTTAAAGTTCAAAAAAATGGTCCTTAAATATAGAACAAAATATATTATTGTTGTTATCTAGATTTGTGGAATATGTATACCGATTTTTCACTTAGTTATTTTCCATTACTATAATATACACATCAATTATTTATTATCACAATAACTAAATGTTTTAATAAATAAATAAAAATATAACAGACATCATTCTATGATGCATTTTCATAAAAGGAAAACAAAGTACATAATAAAAAATGTTATTACTTGAATAGTGGTACATAGCTAACCTTGTGCTTATGTAGTTATGTTATGTTGAAGGTGTGAAAAAGTTTTGGGAGTTACTCCAAAATTTATATCTTTTTTAACTTTCAATAAATAATTTAACATGAAAGTTGCATTCGTGACTTGTCAACTTATTCAGGTCTTGTATTTTTATTGGAATATATTATACTAATTAAAAGTTTCATTATTACAATAGACAGTAGACGTACATTAGTGAATCCCAGTCATGCTATGCTGTCACTATTAAGCTTTTCTGAGGTGTTTTACACAACAATACCTTATATGATATAGAACTGTTCTTTTTTTTTATTCCTAGGTGGGTGGATGAACTCACAGCCCACCTGGTGTTAAGTGGTTACTGGAGCCCATAGACATCTACGACGTAAATGCGCCACCTACCTTGAGATATAAGTTCTAAGGTCTCAAGTATAGTTAAAGTAGTACAGTTATAAGTAGTCTTTTTGAAATAACACACCACCTTTTTAGTTAGAAAAGGACAAAGTACACTTTCTCTCTCTTTAAAATCAAGAACATACCTTAATATTTAAGGTATACGCTTAAGGCTTTAAGTATTAAAAACTGAAAAATTACAACTCTTTAATTACATTTTTGGCTTCTTCAATTTCAATTATATTTACCAAAAAACAAGAATTTTGCCATAAGTGCGATATATAAAGATGCTAATTGTGTTCCCTATACGTTACTGAACCGTTGATTAGGTAGTAATAATTTTATGATAATTAAATAATAATAAACCTTAACCTTATTAACTGAACTTATTTGTATTAATGTCATATTTTTATAGAATCTAAAATCGAACCGCTCATCTCACCACTGCATGTAATCGATAAATTATAATTGTATTAAAATTTTGTGTGAGATTAGTATATGTGTTACTTGTGATTTATTTTGATGATGCATAATAATATGTGGTTGGAGCTCCAGGAGAGGTTTCTGTCATAGTACCATCAACATAAATAGCGCATGAATAGTTTCAAGAAATATATCTTTTTCACACAATTACTTATAGTCACGGCAAAGCGTGACCAGGATTACTAGCATAAACATAAACCTTAAAATTTATTATCACAAAATTAATTTGATTAATACAATCATACTAATTTATCAAACAAATAAAGCTACTAATCATAATACTAATACAATATAATACAGAAGAAAAACACATTTTATGTGCACCACTATTTTATGTGCAAATATACGCCACCGCAAAATACAAAGCTTCATCATTTCCAATATCGACAAAACAAAATGGCATATCTGAAAAAATCTCAGGCAATTTTTGGTGCTTCGAATTCTTTGGTGTGTTTTCCATTAAGTACAATGTCTCGGCAACACATTCGCCTCGCTATTACTATCAATAAACCTAAAAATAATATTGCTCGAAAAAAGGAACATATCCTAAAGACAGGGCTGTTTTATTTTAAACCCGGGTTTTATAAATATGAGGCGAGAATTTAACGGTATACGATATTATGCTGATGCGTTTTACAATTTATACCAAACAAATTCGACTCTTCGAACGTACCAGACGAGCCCTAACATTTTCTACAAAAAGTCGATGTTTAATCAACGATATATTATAATAGATGCATAACTGTGCTTTAGGGTAGGCACTGACAAGAAAACATTTTTTTTATCATGAAGAATAATCGCAAATAATAAATAATAAACAGGGCCTAACTTAGCCTAAGCACTGAAAAATACCACCTCATTACCTACATCCTAAATAAATAGAACATAATTTATCTTCATTAACAAAACGCTAAATGCGATCAAAGAAATATATCTTTACATAAATACTACAAAAACCAAATTTCTTTAGGCGCTAGTAATAAGTAATAACCCAACGTTTCGTACATATATACGCAAATTTACTGTTTATTTATATATTTATTTCTCCTACACCAAATTTTCCCGCCTTTAGAAGTTTCGAACCCTTGACCACTAGCTCCTATTACAATGACCATTTATTAAGCAATATGTAATTACGAAAATATAACGTCAATACCTTTCATAATATTTAATTAAAGAACATAACAAATTCGTTAATACTAAAATTCTGATGCAAATAAATTTCACAGTAGACGAATAAAATACAAACGTATAACATAGCACCTAGTATCGAATTAAAGACTATAAAAATAATTTATTAAATAAAAGTTTTAAAATACAAAGCCGTAACACTTAAAATATTGGTGTTTAAACACCGAATTGAATCACGTTTATGATAAAATCACACAATCATCACAAAGAACATGATGAAGTTCATTTGTCACTGGTTTTAGAAATGGTAAAATATCTGATATTTACGTTTTTTATTAAAACTAATGTTCATATAATGATCAAAATTCGAGAATAATCACTGACACCTCATGATTTAGATTTATTTTACTTTTTCTCATTTATTTTGTTATGCACATTCTGAAAGCAAATTTACTAGGCATTTCCAAAAACAAAAACAAGTTTTGATAACACCAAAGTTCGTGGTTATCAGACAATAACCAGTAATGGGGGAAAAATCGGACAAAGAGAGGAGAAAAAGAAACTTAACTGTTCTCTTTTTGCCTATCTGTACATAATTAATGTGGAACTATTATAAACGTCATGGTCACATCGTCTATTATAAACAAGGCGTCGCATCGCGAGCGCATCGGTGATACATGACGACCACTTTGCCAAGAGTTTACGACTAGGATGAAGAAGAATTATAAACGTGACAAACCCCATCGGGTCCCGGAAAACACATACGTATGAGAAATACAAAAAAAATTGCAACAATCTATAATAAGAATACTGACTGACAGGAATTTGAACTCGCTCCGAGTGCCTGCTACAAAAGTCAGTCACTATACAATCATTAAACCTAAGAGGCCAACAAACCTTAACATATCACTGTCTATAAATCGACCTCAATATTCAACATTTATGACCTATTCTATTAACTATTCTCGTGAAACAGAATACTAGGCGCAATTTAAATATTACCACGAAACGCACCATTTATATAGGTGTTCTAATAAAGTTATTCATTATGCTAGGAACAAATTAATAGATGCGAATTAATGTCTAGCCAATAACATATTTTAGCTTTTATCCGCAGACGCGACGCGACCTTCGTTCAGGCTTGTCTTATCAATATATTTAATAAGTACGTTGTCAGACCGACCTATTAGCGATCACTTGGGCACATTATTTGGCATGTCCAGGCATTACATATTATTTTGTTGATACTACCAGCATTTTTATACCTTCTTACGGGATCTTACGAACATTTGATAAAACAAAATAAGGATGTTTTGAAATACCCTTTAATTCTATTAGCTGTTATCTATTAGCTTTATTGTTTTGGTTGGGAAAACGATTTCGCGCCCCTTCTGGTGTTACGAGCTTACGGGAACCTATACAGATCACGAAGCGCAAATTAGGCAACATGCGGGAATGGTTTGTTAAACTTAAAATAAGATGCCTGTAAGATTTTTTATATACACTATAGTCACAATACACATTTATATAAGGTCGGATCCTTCATGCGTTTACGCAATAAATTAATAAAAATTAACCTGTTTATTGACTTACAACTTATAACAAAATAAAAGTAGCGCGTGCCGCCGCGATAATGGTAGGTAAACACTTACTTGATTTAGCCATATTTATTGTGCCGCGTCTGAACGACCAATAAATTTTACCCCGATATTTGATAGCACGTGATGATCACTTAATTTGCTCAATAGAGTGCTCACACGGCTCCAATGCTACTTCTCCGACCCTTCCCCTTCCATTAAGATGTTTTTTTCTTCCTTCTATCAGATGAGTCTAAATCGGACCTTACTCACCATCGCCTACAATAACCATATAGTCGATTTTTCTTTATCGGACTGTTAATGAGCGTTTTATATACATCTTACGATATCAATAAATCTGTTTGTTACAACGAGTCTAATAATCCAGCATGTCGTTTCATGAATAAGACTATAAGGTTTCATAGGAGCACGAACGAACGCACTTTTTCATTGAGTTATTACTGATGGTGGGAGGGCTTTCCAGCTTCACGAGGAAGGATGGGAAAACTTAAGAGCCCGGGAATTTGTTAGCAGCTGCCCGATCGGCGAAGGATGCCTAGCTGCTAAAGGACAGCAACATGAGTCGGGTCAACGGCGTAATTAACTGCAACCACGAAGAGGAGGTCGTCGTATTGCAAGGTAGCTTTTTTTTCTACCTAAGCTGAGAGCCTTGAGAGGCTATTTGAGCGTAACCTTAACTAGTAGGTGAGCTCACGGGGCTCAAACCGGAGTGCTGCTAACACGAACCCTAGCAAGAACTGTGCTTCGCAGAATCTACCACCGGATCAGAAGACGCGACTCACTGGGAAGATTCGGCGAGAAACTCAGTGGGCTGTGTTGTGAGGGTTCAAGGTAGCGTTCTCACGCTGTCTTCACATTCATACGGATGGAGAACGAAAGTACCATACAGTTTTATATGATTTTTAAAATATGAAATTAGGACGCACAAGTAATTATTATTCAAGAGAAAATGCATAAAATGCTTTAAAATAAAATAAACAACACAATAAAAATAAAATTGAAATAAAGAAATAAGAATTGTAAATACGACACTCCATGGTCTTTTTGTTCTCGCGCACAGCACGGTGAACTGTTAAGGCTAAGGTTTAAGATCAGCTTAGATGAAGCTACTTATTAGAGCTGCACGTGTGCATACATTAATTGTAAGATCAAAGATTATACATATAAGCATAGAAAATATTTTGGAATTATATTAAACATTTTACTAAACACCTCTTTGCAGACTATTGCGTGAGCTCGGAAGGGAGTTCTGCTGTAAAATTTCTTCTTCATCCGTTTCTCTATCATTGGATATCCTAATCGCTTGATACCATTGATTTGTCAGGTCTGTCATTTGGCTTTTGCAATCTTTTAGCTCCTAAAAGAAATATGTTGAGGAGTGTGAGAAACATAAAAAAGAGTAGGATAACCACAGCATTATTTATGATAGATTATTTGAAACATACTAATTTATAATTGTTACCCTTTTGTTTCAAGTAAGCAAATGTTTATCTATATCTTTTTTTAATCACATTACTATTCTCAATTAGATACTTCAAAAGCAACTTTAACTAAACTGTAAAAGTATTTATCAAACATAACGTGTCTTTTCAGTTATTATAAAAAAAGTTTTATTACATATCAAGAGTGTAAATACTTTCTTTTTTTTACTGTCATTCACTTACCTGATGTGTAAAACGTCGCGTAAAAAACGGGGTCAGATATTTCATATCAAATCGAACGAAGCCCCGTAAACGAGTTGCGTGTGAATAATTCACCTGCAATACATTCAAATTAGTCTACAATTTTTCAACAAAATATTCCGCAAATTTATCGTATTGTTTATTTCGTCTATTTCTTTGTTCAATCAAATAAAAAACCTAAAGATGTTTTATTGTGGATTTTGTCATAATCTATACTAATATTATAAAGAGGAAAGATTTGTTTGTTTGTTTGTATTGAATAGGCTCCGAAACTACTGAACCGATTTGAAAAATTCTTTCACTGTTTGGAAGCCACACTATTGCCGAGTGACATAGGCTATAATCTTTTTTGAAAAAAATTAGGGATCCTTACTAAAACTCCAATAATGTAAGCCAAGGTGTAAAAAAAATACCTATAATATTATTTATATCGCGTGCCCTGCGAAAACTATTGATGATAGAATAAAATAATGTAATACGACTTTGTAGAACACATTATTATTTACAAAAAGTGTCGTATTATTCGGTAATTCGACCTCATAAAACCATGACATTCGTAAAATATTAGCGTCTGCACAACAAGTACTGTACAAACCTCAAGTTCCTCTTCAGTGATTTCAGATAAATGTTCAGAATCGATTGCTTGCCCCCACTCTTTTGTTTTAGACAAACTTACTTCCTTTTGTTTGCGCAAAGGTCGTGCACGTTTTGTTTTCTTGTTTGCCTGCAAAATCAAATATTTATTATAGACACACTTAATTTCGTTTAACGTAAAAGCCGCCCAACCACCCATAAAACAAACGTCGAAGTCTTAATTCCATTATGTAGCGGCTGCCCCACCCTTCAAACCTCAAAATATAACTGCTTCATGGCAAAAATAGTTTAGACGAAGTACCTATTCATGTTTACAAATACGCACTAAAGTAATTACGCATATTCATTCATTCGGGGTTTATTCATATTTAACAATATCATTCCTTCCTTCGTCCTACATTTATTTATACTATATCAAACACAAAACGACTACAAAAATAAAATTTGAAATAACATTGAACTAATATGTACACAGATACAGGTGCTATTAGACCTTTTAAGCACGTCAAGAGTTCGACGTACGAACTAAACCTCAGACGGCCCACAGTTTCTCGTCGGATCTTCTCAGAGTATCGCATTTCCGCTCTGGTTGTAGACTCTATAAAGCACTGCTCTTGCTAGAGCTAGTTTTAGCAAATTATCTCAGGTTGAGCTCGTGAGCTCACTTACCCGTCCTGGCATAGCTTGAATAGCCCACTACAGACTACCAGTGAATAGTTAGGATAAAAAAACAGATACACTCTATGGGATGTGTATGAAGGGAAAAGTGTATAACATAAAATCTGACTAAAATAATGGCTGGATACACTTAGCAGGGATTATAAAACCAATAGAACCATTCAGTTAACATAAATACTTGTATACCCCAAAACTATATTTTAAAACACATAAACACCAATTCAAAGTGTCAAGTATGAATTTGTTTACAAAAATTGCACATCTGGACATGTTATCTTTTAAACTTTGGACGTTTTTAACATATATAAATGAAAAGTAGAGTTTATAGCCATTATTTACCCGTAAAAATTTCAATAGTGGCATCGTGGACCCTCCGAAGAACAAAGTAGTAAACAACACGATTATGAGTGTCGTTGTTATAATCACATGTCTGGTTTCATCCGAAAATCCAAGATGCAGAGATAAAGCGTAAGATATCGCACCCCTTAGACCTGTAAATATATATAAACTTAAATAATTTTTTTAAAACCTTTCCCCCCACAGCAACTATCTTAAAGATGTTTACAAAGTGAATGTAAACCTGTTATTTTGGAGCTCAAAGCAAAGTTAATGACGCCTTGTACCTTAAGATGGTGGTTATATTTGTACATTGGTACAGATAATAGAAGTACCAACCTATACAGGGGATCATGATTAAAGATTTCTGGGAAGTCACCTAAAATAATTCCCAATTCCCCCCACTTATCATTAATTACTTCTTAATTCTTACTTTACTTTTGAACTTAAAGCTCTCCCTAATTCTGATCCAGAATTTCCAATTGTTGACTAGGAGTTCAGTTCAGATAAATGACAACTACTGCTACATTAATCTAATATATAAAATTATTATTTTTATTATTATTATTAATTATTTATTATTTGTTATTTATAAACTTTAATTTTTTTTGCAAGATTTTCATTTTTATTTTTTTTTATCATGAAATAAAATAAAAAATCTGATGTTACTCTTAATTTTTCATCCCTCTATGATCAACCTCTATTTTTTATTTGTTAATTATAAACTTGAATTTTTTTGGCAAGATTTTTTTTTTATTTTGTCTTGACTTAAAATAAAAAATTTCATATTACTCTCAATTTTCACTCTTATACGATCAACCCTATTTTTCCATCCCGATTTTTATTTTTTTTATTCAATGCACAGATCCGCAATAAGGTTGCAAGATGGCAATGAAATATTGTAATTGTAGTACGATAAATTCTTATTCAGAGTTTATAATACCAAGTTCCTTTAATTATGTTTTTTTAAAATTCAATTTGATCTCCCGCCCTCGCCGGTTGACTACTGATCAACAATCAATCGATCAGTTATCCCCGCCAGGTGCCACCACTCATCCAGCAAACATCACGTAGTAGGGATGAGGACGAAGCCGGTCTCCTGTCTTACTCACTATTAATTTTTCAGCCATGTTTTTTTGGTTTTATTTGTGCATCAATTGTAGCTTGCCAGCCATGTTTTTTTTTGTTTTAATTGTGTATCAATAGTATGTTCAGTAGGTCTGAGAATCGGCTACTATATATTTGTCATACCCCTAAGTGATAAAGGTTGTCCACTCCAAACATTTATTTTTTATTTTAATTTTGGATAATAATATTATAAAGAAGAAAGATTTGTTTGTTTGTTTGTTTCGAATAGGCTCCGAAACTACTGGACCGATTTGAAAAATTCTTTTTTCATTAGAAGCCGACATTGTCCCTGATGAAGATAGGCTACTTTTTTTTTTTTTTTTTGGTTTCATGTGTGTTTTAATGTTTCCGAAGCGAAGCGAGGGCGGGTCGCTAGTTTTGGATAATTTTATTTTTTGTTATAATGAGGTATTTTTTTTCTAAACTAGAATTTCCCTAGAAATCTTATTTAAGGCAACACAACGTTTGCCGGGTCAGCTAGTATGGTAATAAGAATAGACTTGGGATAGAGACAAATTAAAAGCATTTAAAATTTAACTTTAAGAGAAATTAATATGATTTTTTCTTTATACTGTTTTCACGACCCCCTAAACTATTTATTTGATCATTGAAAAATTCCGAAAACTGTCTTTGGCAATTCAAACAAGTATCAACAACTGTCAAGATTTAAAAAGGTAATATCATATTTTACTAAAGTGTAACAGGATTTCATTAGTAAAATTGCCATTTCTGAAAAACAAGTATTTGTATTAAAAATGTTTTTCTGGAAACATGGAAACAATATTAAGTACTTCATGTTTTATAATTATCAACCATTGAAATCTTTAGTAATTTTCCTTACATGAAAGCAAACCAAACGATGTAGATAAGACAAGAGATAGTGTTANATATCATATTTTACTAAAGTGTAACAGGATTTCATTAGTAAAATTGCCATTTCTGAAAAACAAGTATTTGTATTAAAAATGTTTTTCTGGAAACATGGAAACAATATTAAGTACTTCATGTTTTATAATTATCAACCATTGAAATCTTTAGTAATTTTCCTTACATGAAAGCAAACCAAACGATGTAGATAAGACAAGAGATAGTGTTATCTAATTCAATCATGATGCTTAAAAATAGTGGATGGTTTTACTTTTATTTTTATATTATGCATTATTTTTCATAAACCTGGATAAAATTGACAAAAATATAATAAATTACTTACCGCTGAACCACATAATAAACATCATTTTCTTGGTAATCTTGTGTTCTCGAAATTTGTTGCAAAGCAGTGCCAAAGGGAATATATTAGCTGCTCTGCCAAGGAGACACATTACTATACTCCAGACTACCAGTGCAGGTTCGACGCGATGTCTGAAACTGTTATTATTATATATTAGGTATAAGTTAATTTTATAACAGGTAACTAAAAGTTTCAACCATTCCTGAGATATTTAAAAAACCAGATCATTCATTGGTTGTATCTAGATAAAATTTAGACTTGTTTGCTTTGTATTACTTAACTAGGTACACCACTAATCTATACATATAAATAAAATTAGTGTCTGTTTGTAGTATAAAAATAACCGCTTTTTACTACATGCATATGAATATATATACAGTACATACACCAAAATAACATTTTTTACAATTTTTGTCTGTCTGTCTGTTTGTTCCGCTAATCTCTGGAATGCCTGGCTGGACCGATTTTGATGAGACTTTCACTAATAGGTAGCTGATGATATAAGAAGTAACTTAGGCTACTTTTTTAGACTAGTTTCGCCCCGCGGCGTCACCCGTAGTTATTGTCGTACCGCGCGCAACATGGTGGGCTTCGCCTATCAATAATAAAATTTAATGTTTCCGAAGCAAAGCGAGGGCGGGTCGCTAGTCTGACATAAAATTTATATTTTCCTAGATAAGGCCTAGAAGCTTTCTTTTGGAATTTAATTACTAAAATGAGTATTTTTTCCTTATCATGGCTGCCTACTGCTGAAACCTATGCTAGCAAAAGCAACATTAAAAATTTATTTCACAATAAATTCAATTATCGGTCAAATGTTGATATTGATTTTAACACAAACTTATTTTAACTTATGACAATTTTAACATAGTTCAGAATTCATAATTTTTATTACTAATATATTTGGTACTAAGTAATATAGGAAGCATTTCCTTTTTTTGTTAAAACCTAGTGCTACGTCATTTAACAATACAGAAGATAAATGAATTCACTGTAGATATAAATGTATACACATACCTGAATAGAGCAAGTCCTAAATATGCAAAAACACATGTTTCCGCGATGAATGCAAGAGTTCTCATTGTTTGTTGCATTGTAACTTGAGTAATTGTGGATAAATTAAAATGAGTGTAATGAGACATCACAATACCACAAAACAGTATAGCCATAATCCCTGAAAACAAAATCCTGTTAGTGAAAAATATGAGTTACAACTCTGTTTAAAATTAAAGAACTGAATTTAACTCATACCTGACAAGTGAATGCCCTCAGCTAACACATAAGGAGCATATGTGAATACCAACATCATTCCAAACTCAAGAGATGGATTCTTTCTGAGATCAACATGTTTCAAGAGTAAGGCACTCACAAGTGCAAAAAGTACACCAATGCCAGCTGATGCAAAGAACATTAACCAAAATCGATTAATTGCAGAGAGAATTGCCTCTCCTGTAGACATGAAAGGGTCATTGGAATCCAGAACGGCTGTTGTCAACACAATAGCCACAGCATCATTTAATATACTCTCCCCAAATACCAACATGTTGAGAACTGGGTCAACATCTAGAGCGTGAAATATAGCCACAGTGGCGACTGGATCCACAGCAGATATCAGGGATCCAAAAGCAAATGACTCAACAAAGCTAAGTTTATATACAACCTGAGCCAAACCCAATAAGTAAATACCAGCTCCAATTACAAATGCTGATATTGCAGTTCCTACGATAGCAAATAACAATATTGAACCAATATTTTGAAAAAAGTTGCCTTTGTGGAGATTATAACCCGATTCAAATATGATGGGTGGTAGCAACACTAAAAAGAAAGCTGTTGGTGAAAATGCTTCTTCCTTTCTCCAATTGGCAATATTTTTTATCGACATAAGATTTATTATCATTCCAATGAGAGCACCAAGAAATACTATAACCACACTTTCAGGGAGATAAGAAAATCCTGTTTGTAACATTAAATGTATTAACAGTATACCTAAGGCCAAAATACAGAGTACGAAAAATATTGCCATTGAGCTATTATGTTCATCTTCAGCTGAGCTTTTTTCTGGAAGAGGAGCAGCGTCTGATGGATTAACAGAGGCATTGGGTGTCGCAGCCGAAGCATTAACTTGAACTACAGCCAGTATTGAAGAATTTGATGGTCCTATTTCGTAAACTATATTCGATTTTTCAGTTGAACTTGGAGTTGTTGAATCGACTGTTTGATTAACATTCATACTTATTTCACTAGTACTAGAAAGGTTCCGCTCACTAAGTCTTTTTGGCCTTGATAAAATCTCGTAATAGTTATTGCTCTTGTCCACAAGAATTGAATAATTTTTACTTTCACTGTTTTTGTTTGGAGTATTTGTTTCAACACTTGCAACCACAGAGGCACTTAATAACGTTATTATTCCTGCACACCAATACATTTTTTTCGTAATGAATAACATGATATATGGCATTAGTTTTTCGATGAAAATAAAAGCACTATTTGCATTAAACACATTAGTCAGTAAGTAGATTTATAATTTTAAACTTCTTTAATGTACTATCAAAATATTGTTGTTTAATTAAATGCTGTGTTAAATTGTTTTTTGTATGTAGACGGTATTGAATTTTATTATTACCTCGCCGAGGTTTACAACAATTTATAGACTATAGACATTAACGGGTTTTAAATATTTCTGCACTGTCAACTGTCACTTAAACCATAGATAATAAAATACACCTAATAAAAAATGGACGATTAAATTAATGTAATAGCTATTAATTTACTAGGTGTACTGTGACACTGTTGTAGCCCAGAATCACAAATTGGGGGAAATTGGCAAGCTATTTTCCAAGCGTATTGTATCTAAATCACAATATTAAACTCGTATTTTAAAAAACTATATGTGTATTCATTGTACTGCCCCACTACCACTTCAACTTCTATAATTCTGGCAAACCTTGGAAGAAGTCAATGTCCCGCAGTGGACGTCGGTGGACTAAAGATAATGATGATGATAATATTTGGGGGTACCTATGGGAGAACCACGTCCATGTTCATATAGTTACAACATATTATGATTTAAATATTGGGAGCGCCGGAGTATAAACGTGATTTAATTTTTGCGGGTGCTTTGACTCTCTACCACAGATCACAACACTGTGTGTAATACTGGTTGTAGCAAAACTTAAAAGGCGCCACATATCAATAAATTTAAATGTTTATAGGGAAAACCAAAAATTGTAAGGCGAAAGTTATACACCTGGGCTGTCAATGTAGATTTGATAAGTAAAGTTGTATTTCTTCAAAATTTTTAATATTTTCATGTTACAACAAAGATTTTTCTAAAAGGTGATATAAATAGTTTCAATTTTCAAACGTCAAAAATACCCAAATTTGAGACTAAGCCCCAGTAAACACAGCATAAATTCATACTGCTGTTTAAACGACTAAAGTCATAAAAAAATACTGACAAATGTATACTAAAATAATCTACAATACATTCACTTCTTATATTTTATAAGTCAATGTTACCCTTTCAAAATTCAAAACCACATAAATTTGTTTAAAAAATACAGTGAAAAGTTGATCAATTTAAGTGTAATCGATGAAAAAACGGCTCCGATAAATTTTTCATATAGACAAAGTGTTTAAGAATGCAGGCTAAAAGACTAGAATCCAGGCCATGAAATTCTTATAAAATAATGCTTACTGGCACAAACTGCATGGAAAACAACGGATTAAGCAACCAAATCAAACTGTACATTGAAAGTTGGTAAACTTTTGCTTGTATCTCTTTCGCTCTTAAGAAAATTTTAATGAGCCTGACAAAGAGCTGATCGTAGTCATAATTTTTTTTTATAATTCAGTTTATTTGTTATTTCTTGATCGAGCAGACCGGACAGACTTTATATTTTTAGTTCACAAAAACTAAAATGGATTCAACTTTAAGAGAGCAAGTAATGATAAATCAATTTGTATTGGCCGCAGGCTGTGCTCAAGAACAAGCTAAACAATTGTTACAAGCGGCTCACTGGCAATTTGAGGTGAATATTATATTTATGTAAACAAACAGTATGTACATGAAATGGCTGCTCCACTATTTTGATTTATAAAATAGCCTTCAAAGTTTACCATAGGTTTTCTCTGTGTGTTCCTTTCAGTTAATATCTATTATATTGCGTAATTTTCTAACTTATTGAGTTATATAGTTAAATGATAAATACTTTGTTATTAAGTAATAAATAACGATAATCACATGGCAGTCTTATTGTACATCATCTAAGTTTGTCTATTTTTTCATTTTGACATGTTGATATTGATGAAGTTACACGCAATTGCTAAGGTGTTACATTACATTGTCTGCGCTATTTATTTAAAAAATATTATACATAAATTTGAAATTGATTAAAATGTTTCAATAGGATAATTTAATTTCGCAAGAGACATAAAATATGGCTTAATTTTGAAACTAAACGTAAAAATAATCAATGTATATGAAAAATTTCATGACTAGTTCTGTTTGGTGTTTTACATGCAAATTAGGTTTTAGTTGAATAGTTAGCATAATTATGTTTGAATTCTAAATATTTTGTTATCATTACAGTGAAGTATGATCAGCATTCATTAGACGTACATTCTTCATTGCTCTTCTCATATAGATTAGAAATGTGACATTTTACAGAAGTACATATGTAGTCTGATAACCAGAGCCCATAGACATAATTGCTTCACAACAAATGATAGTAAGGATGGTGAAAACCATGCTTACAGTCTTACAATTCACGCCAGCAGATGAAAGTGACATACAGTAAGACCCAGCTTAATGCAGAGTTCGTTTTCCACCAAACTAGAGCATAATATGAAACAGTGTTAAACAAGGTTGTCTCATATAAATAATGGGCTCAGTGGAAGATGGGTAGAAAATTGGTTAGGTATTTTAAATTTTTTAATTATGTTTTTCATAACAATAAAATTTATTTCATATAAATATAGAAACATAATAAATGAATATACACAGTCACATATACATACATACATAAATATACACATAAAATAGTTTATACAGTTTTATAAGGAATAATATATTTTACTAAGAATATATTGGAAATATAAAGGAATACTTTATTTTCATGTTTTTTATTATCGCCAATGATAAAAGCTAAAAATCATAATTTTTGCCACTATATCAATCATTATATTATGTAAATTAATACCTACAATAAGGTCACCAAATGTTTGAAACGATAAAAATACATTCATATAACACTGCAAGAAGAAACACAGATAAACCACTTCAAATATTTGGGAGCCTAAAGCTGCATGCAATTTTGGGGAATCCTATAATTCAAAGAAAAACATGTTAAACAAAACAGAATTATGCAGGATTTTACTGTATTAGATTTAGCATTTTGTTGCTTTTCATGAAATAATAAATGTGACATTAAATTGTAAAAGTACATGGAAATTATATAAGATTTAATTTATTTACTATTCATTTTGTTGCAGACTGCCTTATCTATATTTTTCCAAGACATGGCAATACCCGCTGGTGCCAATGGCATTGCTGCACCTCACTACGGACAGGTTAACTTAGTTTGTTAAAAGATTCTGAAATGTGATTGAAAATTGTATACAGAGTGAACCAAAAGGTTATGGGGGACGAAATATAGAACTTTCATTTCTCAAGATGGACACAATGAGCTAATTTCCCACTTTGTGTTATTTGGTTACTTGAGATGTCACAATTAAAATGCCTCCACCCAGCCACCTTAAGATATGAATTCTAAGTCTTGGGCTTACAGTACAACAGCTGTCCACCATTCAAACAGAACCGCATTATTGATTTGCAGTAGAAATGTGCATTGTGGTGGTACCAACCCGTGTGGACTCACAAGACCCCCTGCCACCAATAAAAAGAATTTATTTGATATTGTAATTTGTTTTTAAACTAATTGTATTTTTTATAGGCAAAATGCAAATTTTAACCTGGTTATTAATTCAATCTGACCTTGATGGTTTGATTAGGTAAAATTATTTTGCAGCAATTAATGACACCATGCAACACTCCAGCTACACCACCAAACTTCCCTGATGCATTGGCAGCATTCTCACGGCTGTCCACAACAGGGAGTCCTAACAATGCTGGTGGAGTCTGTATGAATACCGCTCCACCTGTGTCTCCACTCGCTACGCATCCTCCGCCTCCATCTCACCAATCTCATGTACAAATCAACATGTATCCGGGCTCTGCAAACACACCAACAAATTACACATCTATCTCTTGCTCAACTGCAGTAAGTATACAAAATAAAGCTCCAGTAAAAATGCTCATGATTTAATAACTTGTTCATTATTTAAATTTCAATATATGCATTATATTGTTGTAAAGTTTTAAGAAACGATAGAAAACAAAAAATAGTTTATCATCATCATAATTTATCAGCACATAGATGTTCACTGTAGAAATAACCCTCACCAAATCCTTTAGTGGGTAGAGCTTGATAACACTAGTAAAGAACTGTTGAAAAATATAAAATGGTTTAGCAAGCTCATGGACTATTTGATGTTACAGTTATCAACAGAGTCTATTGATATCACAACGTAAATGCTGCTGCCCACCTTGAGACATAATGATTGAAGTCTAAATTGCAAATCCTTGAAACTGGAATGCATGGGATGCATTGCATAATATTAGGAATAAGCAAAATTGTGATAACCACACATGCATTATACAGTACGATCAGAAGATAGATCTAGGGATTTTGGAATTCTTTGTAAGACTACTTAGCATAACATTTATTTGTCAAATTTTAGATGTTATCAAAATATTACTTATTTTTCGTAGCTTGAACCAGTCCTAGAATTGTTTTTCACGAATTGAGATAAAGCCAAACAGCTGCATTTCCTTAAGAAAAAAACATAAACAATATTATAAAGAGAATAAAACACCCGGAAGATTAAACCCTGAACCTGTCTTACTTTCTGCAATTGTAACTTTTAAATATCCTCTGTACTAAATGCACATCGAAACTTTAAATATATTTCTAACTTGGTTTTTTTATTACTTTTCAGATGTGCAGTGAACATATGCCAAGATAAATGTAGCATATTAGTTTAAAAGCATCCATAATTTATTTTTTTAATGGTGCACAATGTGAGCGGTGGAGCTGTGTATGAAATGTACATACATTAATCAATGAGACCCTACTGCAGCGATTACTTGCAGAACATTATTTAGGGTACTGTACTGTAGTCAATCATGTTAAATAATATTCTAAAAGTCTTATCCGTTTATGTGCAATTGTAATGAATAATGCACCTCAAAATATATAGATTGTGTTAATTTTTCTGATCATAATTTTTGATTTTATTATATATTATAGTGAATGAAATAATTAATCAATGAAAAACTGCAAATGATTATTGTACTTCCTCAATATACAACTAATTAGATAATAATGTAATGTACACATCATTCATTGTTTGTATTTACATAGTAAATGTATTACACGTTGTTAGACAATTTATGTAAAAGTTGCTCTATTATGATAAGAATAATATTTTATAATAGCATTAAACACCAGTCCACGCTGCATATCTGTATAAATTAGCGTTGATATTACCTAAGTATATTATTTTAGTGTTTATCCTTACTTTTCTAAGACATTGCTTTATTTCAGTAGCAAATTTAAATTTAAATGTTTTATACATTTTCTGTAATGTATAGGTATATAATCTTGTATAAAAAAAGACATAAATCAAGAAATTACCAAAACCAGATTTGCCTGTTTATAATATAAGATTAAAACATAATATATGTTTTAGAAAATGCTGAATTGCGTATGTTAATGTCCACTTTAATGATACAAACGGTGTAATTACAAAATCACGAGTCTTGACATAGTTTACTGTTAAAATGTAATAATACCGTTGTATATATTTTTATTTTTCATAAATTTTGCGTCTCATGCCTACATAACTCATATTCATGGCGATAGTCAATAGGAAACTTTATATGATATAAGGTTTCAGTGCAACATTACCTGTAAGTTTATTAAATATCAATATTTATTATTAACTAAGCAGAATGTAAAATAAAATTTTACATTTCATTCAGCTATGCCTTTTTAATAAGTGCTAGTTGTTCAACGAGAAGTGCTCATGATTTTCATAACTATTTTGGTCTCAAATCAAACTAAGTTTAAAAAGACAGCATCAAACATCGATAGACCTTTAGAGCCGAAACACAACAGTCTTGCGGTAAAAAATAAAAACGCTCCAGCAGACCGGGATCCTAAGTACCCGCTGTTAAAATCCCCTAACTACGAAATACACAAAAATGCTCCGTTTCAGGCTTTTGAGTTACGAAGGACGGCGCGTCTATCTACAGTACCGAAAGCACACGAATTAGTTCCGTTAAGATATTAGCGCAGACCGGTAACGGCTATTGGTAGCTCCGTCCGAGCAGAGTCTAGGATGTAATGAGAGGGTTACTGTATGGCAACACTGTTGAAATGTCGGATGCTGCCTTTAATACTTACTGATTGGTTCGAGACCAAAATAGTCATGAAGATCCCCATTTGTCACGCGAACTTACAACCACGGAAAGCCACCGGCTCCGACGGAATCAAAAACCCGTTTTAAAAATTTTACCCGTCCAACTAACGATCATGTTGATCTCCATTTGAAATGCCGCTATAACCGCTATATGACAAACTGTATCTTTCCTGCGGTGTGGAAAGAAGCTGACGTTATCGGCATACACAAACCTGGAAAACCTAAAAATGATCCCGCGAGCTACCGCCCGATCAGCTTCCTCCCTATGATAGCCAAATTATTCGAGCAACTATTACGCAAACGCCTCTGGGACTTCATCACCTTCATCAAAGGCATCCTGAACGAAGAACAGTTCGGATTCCGCGCGAAACACCCGTTCATTCAGCGAGTGCACCGCCTCACGGAGCACATCTTAGTAGGCCTAATACACGTAGATCCGTCCCCACGGGAATTCAATATCGCGAAGCCTTTCGACAATGTTTAGCACAACCGCTTAATTTACAAACTAACTCATAAGTTACTGTGGGTTTCGAAGGCTAATTACTTAGACGTCACTCGACGGGGGATGACATTCGGACCCCACATTAAGTTAGTACTACGCGACCGAGCCGCCTTCCTATTCTTTCGACTCTACCCCATGATCTGCAAGCGAAGTGAGTCCCTTCATAACAAGGTGACACTCTACAAAACTTGCATACGTTCTGTCGTGACCTTGTCTTGACAGAACGTACGCAAGTGTTCGCTCAGGCGGTCCGGACATTTGTTAAATTCTCTCCAGGTCATCCAATCCCGTTTCTGCAGGATATCCGTGGAAGCACCGTGGTATGTGAGGAATGTATATCTTCACAGCGACCTAAATCTATTAGCGATACGTAAGTATCTTAAGGAAACGTCAGAACGCTACTTAGACAAAGCGGCGCGACACAAAGACCCTCTTAACGTGGCCGCCGCTAATTACTTATCAGACCGAGGCAACGCAAAGCCACCGTCGCCCGAAACATGTCTTGTCGGATTCACTCTCGGTGGTTTTAGAACCCCAAGCACCGGTCACCATCCTCGTCATACTCGTTGATTACGACGAAGAGTTCTTTTCTGGTACATAGGTAATTACAAAATTACTATGAAGTCTTGCAAGCAAGTCTGCACTAGAAATTTTTTATTACATTCTCAACATTTTACTAGCTTAAAAAGGAAGATTTGATCCTGTAAATGCTGTGGATGGTGGAATACAAGCTAAAATTATAAATAAAAAGCTAGTGTTTCATTTAGGGTATTGCGTTACTTTAAATGAATAATATCTATTCTACTATAATATTTTTTCATTCTTCTTTTAACTAAGTGCCTATTTGTGTACTAACAAGATCGCTCAATCGCATTTAAAAAAGGAATCTCAAAATTACTTTCCCTTTTTTCACATGATTTCATTATTGACTTGTTGGATTGGTAAAATTCTCTTGGACGCACATCATGGAATTCGTTGACAAATCGAATTCATTTAAATTTGAATGTTTGCTTATTTTGAAAATTAGCTGTAACCAAGAAACAATTTTACTTCAGTTTTTTTTTATGGTCACCTAGATGTGTGCAGAAGCTCGTGGTCTGCGTGCTCTAAAGTGGTTACCGGGACCCAAACACATCACAACGTAAATGGGACATGAGGACAAATTCTTAAATATATTATACAACGGGCAGGCCTACCCTTAAAGTACAACGCATGAGTGCTTAGCCGCAAAAATAGGTAGAATAGTGGTACGCGTGCGGACTTACAGTACCTACGTCACAATACCCATGCAAATACGGGTTGATCGCAGTATGCTGAACAAAAATCAAAGAATGAAATAATAAGGTACGCAAAATTATATTTTGTAGGGGTTATGACTTTTATTACACGAAATTCATTTTTCACCGTGGATTGCGTTCATAAAAATAAAATAAACTTAAAAAAATTGCCCATATCGCAGTCCTTATGGCAGTACACCAGGCCTTTTTCTTTAAGCCACACGAAATAAAAATCGTTACAATTAATAATTCATTAATTTCCGCCCGTATTCGCGTAGGTACTTCAAAACATACTTCGTGATGATTATCAATTTGGTCTATGATAATTCGTGAACACACAAGCCACTTTATCTGTTTGAGTTATGTAAAAAATACCGTTTCGATGTATAAATTGAAATGTCTATTTGATCTCCGTACCGTTTAAAAATGTGGCGGCATAAATTGAATTAACAATTACTACTTTCTACCACTTGTGACGTCGCTGTTTAATAAAATAGGTAGTAAAAGTACCTTGTAAAATCCGGATTTTTCATACACCCAAACAAATAAAACTGATATTACTACTATAGCTAAAGTAAATAACAAGTAGCGTGAAGAGTAGGTATAAGCTTCGGAAAATATACCATACCAACAATTAAATTTATTTCTATTCATGATATCCAAAGTTGCTGTTATTGACACTTCTCAAATATATTAAGTGTATAATCTATGGTCTCCAATAAACAAATTGAATATTGTTTTCAATTAGCCACAATGTCAAAACTTCTTTTGCTTTCGTAGATTTAGCTTGCAATCATTTTATGCATGGAGGATAGAACTATACATAACAGAACCGAAGTGTGGTAGTTTATGATGTCACCGTCCTCGTCGAACCCGTCGCTTGCGACGAAGGGCACGACGAGCGAACTAACCCATAGACACAGCCCACTGAGTTTCTCGCCGGATCTTCTCAGTGGGTCGCGTTTCCGGTCCGGTGGTAGATTCTGCGAAGCACTGCTCTTGCTAGGGTCAGTGTTAGCAACTCTCCGGTTGAGCCCCGTGAGCTCACCTACAAACGTTAGGGTGAAGCTGAAATAGCCTCTCAAGGCTATCAGCATAGGTAGGGAATAAAAAAAGGTAGTTTATGATGCTGTTTTAAAATCTTTCCACTATGGAGCCACCTTAATTGGCTCCCTTTCAGCAGACACTTCTAATATACTGAGAGTATACTCCATAGCCAGTTGCCATAGTGTATTTATAATCTATCTCTGCTTGGCATTTTAGCTGCCACGCTAGGATTCCCGATAGACCGTTAAAATACTAAGTAATCCAAAAACTGATTTATATATCACACCACCTATGAAGTGGCATCGTCCATTTTTTTTTTAATTTTTTAGTAAACATCAACAATATAATTGAAGAACTAAACTAATTTTTTTCGATCTTAATACTTTGAGGTAAGCGCTTGATTTAAAAGAGACGGAAAAAGTACTATTGTTCTTTTGTGCACTTTAGTGTACTAAAAGTATTGAAAATAAAGAGTCGTTTAAGAGTGTTTATTTTCAATAAACTCAGAGAATACATAATATGTTCATACTTAATTCGTTCGAAGTATGAAATTAATTTTCTTAAATTTTCATATCTTTCTTTGATGTTGATGTTTTGAAGTTAAGTTTTTTTTAAGCAATAAGCTGCTCATATGATTAATCAATTACAAAAAACTAATGCTAAATCGAATGAGTAAAAGCAAAAGACGGTCGATGTTGACCGACGCAACCAAACGCGCGGCTCAACCCAAGGAAACCTGGCCGAAGGAGCCTTCGAAGCGAAACGAAGGCTCTGGGACAGCCAGTTAGGCCACCCAGGCGCTGGTGTCCCGAGATACCCCGCTGGGTGAGAATCAGTATTTCGGCTCGACAGCTTCGCGTCGATGCCGAGAGGAAAGAGCTCTCCCTCTCTCATTCCGCCACCTTTTTCTGCAAGCAGAAGTCGAGCATCGCCTTCCAGGCCGCGTCGCTGCCGAGCATCGTAGCCAGAACGGTCGCCAGCAGCAGGTTCTCTCCTACAACCGCGACAAGGGTGACTCGCTGCTCCCGGAATCCAGAACAGTTTCAGTGTCCTACTAATCGCAATCGTCGCAGTGCCAGCACTGCGCCGTGGGTTCCCTTGGGGGGACACGGTATAGGTACCAGTCCAGTAGGAGGCGTCCGGACGGACCGCCTTCACGGTCCGTAAGCCATAGGACGGGTTCGCCAAAAGGCAAGACCGCTCTGCCAGCACGGACTGTCGAGATTGGAGCCTTCACGCTCAATCACTCCTTCATCCTTATGGTGATCGCGAGCTGCAGAAGTCACAGCGCAGTCACGTTTTCATATGTTAGGGCGTGGCACCAAATTGGTGTCCTGTAAAGGGTCATAAACCACACCACTCCCTTGTAGAAGCAGCGCATCCGTAGGTCAGAACACCCGATGTTTGGAAGAAGCCTTATCGATAGTCTGTACGACACACAACTAAAACTTTATAAACACTACAAAAAAAAAACTGTAAATTTTGGGAAATGGGTATATTGAATGAAATACTTTTTATGCATTTTATATTCAAAATTTTTATCATTTTACACACAATATTATCATCAAATTCAAAGATTTATTCTAGACTGATAATAATACTTAAATATACATCATTTCCGCCATTGAAGACATTTTTTTAGGTATGTGAACCAGGGTTTCGAAATAACTAGCTAATTCATCAATTGTTACATCACAAGGTGGATTCAAAGCCTGCTGACAACATGAATTATTTTGGGTGCTTTGTTTTGCCTGGTTTTTCTCTTTTAGCTTAGCAATATCATTTCGCCACCATTTTGTGCTACTATCACTATGCGTTGATTTAGTTGGTGGTTCATTCGACTCTGAAGATATCTTCAACTGGTTACAATTTTGCACCAATGTACACAAATTTAATGTGTCGCTATTCAATGTTTCATTATTTTCTGTTGGTAGACTACATTTCTTTGATATATCGTTATTATCACAACATTGCAGAATTTTTAACACAGGCTCTTTGAGAATGTTATTATTGTATTTCTTCTTACTGACACCCCGGTTAAAAAATCTCTTTTGTGACATGCATGTACATTTTTTCTTAACTACTCTTGTGAACACACTCCTAGCTGGATACATGGGTATAAATGGATTTTCAGGATGTCTCTCCTTATTAGGTTTGCCAGGTTCAATTTCTAACTTTCCCATTTCAAATCCCAAAACTACATCTTCTCTGGTCATGTTTATTAGCGTTTAAGATGCTTCTTCTACTGAAACAAGCAAAAGGTTAATATTTTTCTGTCTTTATAGGAAGGCGAGAACCACCTGTCGTATTAAATATCAACAATTCAAAAAGTGCAGTTTTTTACATGTACTGAAGTAGCCATTATTTCAAAGTGTACCTTTATACTAACAGATAAAATTGAATTACTGTGCTTTCACAATTAAGGAGACAAGAGATAAACCTTATTTTAAAAGTAGTCTTAATAGAATCCCGAAATATTATTAATGAACAAAATTTAAACTTTAAATTTATAAAGCTGCTATATCATACACACTATCTGCATCTGCAGATAATACTATTTTGTATGTTAATAAAATGTGAAATAAAACCTATACTTTCTCTAATATCATTCTGATTGGAAGACGAAAGTAGGGAAAATAACACGTTCAATATATTGCGCACTTACAGACTATTTACAAACAAAACAGAATTTAGGTTTAAAACAACTTACCAATTACGAGTTTTATTAGAACACAATAACCATTAAAATTGTTCAAAATGCTCGGATCACTAATGTAAATAATGAATAGTTTAACAACAAACACTTGTTTACCACAAATCCGCCATTATTTATTGGAACCATAATTTGAAATTGTCTTGTCATTTGTCAATTGACAATATTTGACAATCACAAAACGAATGACAAATTTGTCACTGTTTTAGTCAACGAATAGAGTATGGTAATCTCTTTGGACTTGAAAAAATGTAGGGCTCCCCAATTTTAAGGCTCGCGGATTGAAAAAAGTGTTCTTATTTCAGTTATAACTANTCCGCCATTATTTATTGGAACCATAATTTGAAATTGTCTTGTCATTTGTCAATTGACAATATTTGACAATCACAAAACGAATGACAAATTTGTCACTGTTTTAGTCAACGAATAGAGTATGGTAATCTCTTTGGACTTGAAAAAATGTAGGGCTCCCCAATTTTAAGGCTCGCGGATTGAAAAAAGTGTTCTTATTTCAATTATAACTAAATGTTATTTATATAAAAATATTAAAAAAACAAAAAAAATCTTATATTCATGGAACAAATACACTCTAATCTAGTGTTATAAACACGCCAAAGGTAGCATAGCAATAATCGCCTCTAAAATTAACTACAGTATGTAGCATCTAGGTATTGGCAACATCATAAAAAACAAATAACAAAAAAAAATGATAATAAACTAGGTACATACGGTACGGTACTTATTAAATTTAAATGTGCCATGTTTTTTTTTTATGATTGAAGGATTACTGGTGGCCTGGAGGCCTTTCCAGTTTCACCAGGACAGGTGGGCGAGCAAAGGCTCAGCCAGGAGGGGTAAAGTCAGTAGCTGTAATGTATGGAGAGTAGAGGTAAGGAGAACCGTCTCATATGGGAGAAGCTTGAAAAAGTGTCCCACTTTCAGCACTAAGCAACAGTTCAAAAATCCTCCAGAATGGCTAGCACAGGGACAGGGATGATATGAATTGAGCAGTTGTTAGCTGATTGAAGTATGCCGAGTTAAGAAATTTAATATATTTAGTCTGGTCATCAATGCTGTTACAATTAAAGATAAACAAAATATTACATTTGAATTTGGAATCTGTCATTTTTATATGATTGCTCATTGGTTTTCTCATTTTGGCGCCAATACATTGTACAATATTTTGCGATATTAAAATGGAGTGGGGTGATAAAGAGAACCGAATCGCTGTGATTGCATTACACAAAGTAGGTATGGAGCCAAATGCAATTTTTAAAATTCTCCATACACTTGGTATTAGTAAAATGTTTGTGTACCGGGCTATTAATAGGTGCAATGAGACCTCCTCTGTTTGTGACAGAAAAAGATCTGGCCGTCCACGTAGTGTTCGTCTCAAAAAGGTGGTCAAAGCAGTAAGGGAAAGAATTCGAAGAAATTCTGTCCGAAAGCAAAAGATTTTATCTCGAGAGATGAAGATAGCACCTAGAAGCATGTCGCGTATTTTAAAAGATGACTTAGGACTTGCAGCCTATAAGAGACGTACTGGTCATTTCTTAACTGATAATTTAAAAGAGAATAGGGTGGTAAAATCGAAACAACTACTGAAGCGGTACGCAAAGGGAGGTCATAGAAAAATTTTGTTTACGGATGAGATTTTTTTTACAATTGAGCAACATTTTAACAAACAAATTACCGTATTTATGCTCAAAGCTCTAAGGAAGCTTCTCAATTAGTCGACAGAGTGCAACGTGCGCACTATCCGACTTCAGTGATGGTTTGGTGGGGTATTAGCTATGAAGGAGTTATTGGGCCATATTTTTGTGAAAAAGGTATCAAAACATCGGCACAAGTGTATCAAGATACCATTCTTGAGAAGGTAGTGAAGCCCCTTAACAACACCGTGTTCAATAATCAAGAATGATCCCTCCAGTAAGACTCGGCGCCAGGCCATAAAGCTCGGTCTACGCAGTCTTGGTTGGAAACGAAGGTTTCGAACTTCATCAAAGCTGAAGACTGGTCGTCGTCTAGTCCCGATCTTAATCCGCTGGGTTATGATTTATGGTCAGTTTTAGAGAGTACGGCTTGCACTAAGCGCCATGATAATTTGGAGTCCCTAAAACTTACTTACAGTTCTTTCGTCCTTTTTTATTTCTCTATCTTATTCTAGTAAATTTCAGCGCCTTTTTTTAAATTTACCCGGTTGCTACTGTAGCGCCATCCTTATTTATCAGATTTTAACGGAATTTTTTTCACACACAGAGACGGTTCTCTTTATCTCTACCCTCCATAGTGTAATGTTGTAAATCAGGGATAGTATACAAGAAGAACAGCAACATTGTTTATCTGGATGAAGAGTTGTATCAAAAACTTTCTATACCACTCCTGCATACTTGCCGTATGCCGGTATAAGTAGCACCATCTATCACTAAACAGCGAAAACGGATATCAAAACAACTACTGCTATGGAAAATGTTCATCCTCAGAAATCTATGTATGGAGAGCCTAGACACCGACATCCGACGCCTGAGTGTCTCATTGTTCGCCCACGCCGATGGAGCGCAATCCCACCATTTACACAGGATAGCGCCATACCATCGGTGATTGCCGGATATAAAATGGCTCCAACGTGACATACTAGAAATATAATTAACAAATGATTCCAACTCACATCGATATATCACTCCTCGCCGGCAGCGGACGGACGCTTACTGGAAGTTTATCCCGGCGAGTTTGACTTCGCCGAAGGGCGGGTTGTAGCAAACAGCTCTAAGAACCTCCGCCACGGCTCGCAGATTGCTTACGATTACGGCGCTATATACTAAGAGGTTGCAACACAGTGACCCGTCTGTAGTGGTAGACTATCGTCTGGAATGGTTACCCTGGGGCCGTTCTATTTTCTCTCTCGCACCTATCAAATAGCTGCAATTCTAAAACTTTATAGCTTGGCAATAATATTATAAGTACGCTTTCTTGCAAGCAAGCCTATACGATTGGTTTTGTAATTAAAATATCATATGATATCAATTTCGAATGGATATCAGATCGGTGTAGTTACCTAAATTAACTTACCTTTTCACATCTGCTTGCCGGGTAGCCATGCACAGACATATTCTGTGTGTTAAAAACTATCATCATCATCATCATCATCAGCCTTTATCTGCCCACTGCTGGACATAGGCCTTCCCCAATGCCTTCCACATAAAAACTATCAGTTGAGTTGAAATTCATTCGGTTATGAAAAAAAATGTGATGAAAGAAAATTGATTAAGATTAATTCAATTAAAATAGCTATGTAATAAGCCTTTCGATAGGCAAGATATCATTAAAAATAATCTGAAGTCTTGGCTCTTAAACTTAGACTATTTTGAAACAGAACAAGTCGTGTTGTAAAAATGTATAATGATGTATATATAGTATGATATACTGTTCATTTATTGTAGCTAATTGTAACTTTTTTTTTATTGCCCTTGTAGGCAGACGAGACCTGATGGTAAGTGGTTACCGTCGCCCATGGACTTCAGCAATGCCAGGGGCAGAGCCAAGCCGCTGCCTACCGTTTAAAGTTTTACTATACTTTATTGTATGAAACACATACACACACACACAAACACACACACACAAACACACACACACACACACACACACACACACACACGTACGTACTATATTCTTACAGATCGCTCTTCCTGGTTAACTTTCTTTACCTGGTGACCTAGCACTGAACCTAGCAATGTGGGAAAATGAAACAAAGCCGCTGGACGTAGCTTCTCGGGATCCTCCAAAAAGTCCGCTGAGATCTTAGTAAATCACCACCATTTTACTGAGATTATATTTCATTCCATATCATCTTCATTTCATTTCACTCCTTAATATCATTTTTCATAAAAATATAAATATAAATTAAAATAAGACATGACTTAAAGGTCTCAGTTACCAGGTCATAAAATCCCTTAAAAAAAACAATGGTATAATCTATATTTCAGACATCAAAGATTAGGAGATAAATTAGCGCAGAATATTGATTTTCCTGTAATAAATTCGATAATGGAACCAAATCCAGTAATAATCGCCGCACAGGCTAGACATACAGCATCGGTATGATATTTGTTATTGTTCATTGTTAATAACTTAATATAATTTGTAAAAAATAATCTTACAAATATTTATTTTCGTTTCAGCTTATATTTTTACACGGTTTGGGTGACACCGGGTAAATAAACAATTTTTATTTAAAACAAATATTAGAACTATTTTAGAACATCGTTTACCTAGTCATCGATACTAATTATGATTGCAGTCATGGATGGGCAAGCACGATTGCTGGCATCAGAGGCCCTCATGTCAAAGTTATATGTCCTACGGCTTCGACTATGCCCGTGACGCTCAACAACGGTTTCCGTATGCCCTCGTGGTTTGATTTAAGAACGCTGGACGCTACAGCTCCTGAAGATGAAGAAGGTATTGAGAGAGCCACTGATCTCGTCCATGGGTTGATTGCTGATGAAGTTAAAGTAAGTGAAAGATAAGCAAATGTAGCTTAAGAGCACAATGACTACTTTAGTATAACAATATGACAGTAAATATTTTTCATAAACATACTCCACAAATAGTTCCTTGGTTAGCTATAAATTATAATTCACATAGATTTCATTGATTTACAGGCCGGTGTGCCTGCAGATAAAGTTCTGCTTGGTGGTTTCTCTCAAGGTGGAGCATTAGCTCTATATGCTGCGCTTACATATCCTGAGAGATTAGCAGGAGTCATGTCCCTATCCTGCTGGCTACCTCGACATGGTTATTTCCCTGGAGGCTTAAAGGCTCCTGTTGATTTACCAGTAAGTATTCTAGTGAAATTTCATATAAGAAAAGTTGTGTGATTCTCAAATTAAAGGGAGCATCTTCAACTTACTGACTTTTGTTAGGTACTTAGTAGAGTGATATAGGAAAAGTTGCTGTTTTGAAATGATTGTTGTGATTTCTGAAAAGATTTATTTGGATTTTACTTTGCTACAATCATTGTAGTTGCTTCTAGAAAAACAAATTCCTAGAAACAATTCTGAGGTGAAGCTGAATGAAAAGCCAAGACACTAATGATTTGCTTGAATGAAATGATATTTTTCTCACTTTAGTTTATAAATACATTGT